CAGTTTCCTCATCCATGAAATAATTCCTACTTCACAGGGTTGTTGGGAAGAAGCAGTTTCCATGTGGCCCAATGTTCGTGGGTGTAGTCAGGCTGGGTGTTTAGACAAAGCAAAGACACATACAGACAATTTTTGAATCAAGGAGAACTGATTTTGAAGATTCTGACACCTACATACTAGCAAGCGTCTTATTCGGTACCACTTTAATTGTGTGGATTTGTCCTTCCCTGTAGCTCTAGTGGCTACCAGTGCCAGTCCCTAGACGTGACACGTTTGTGTGTGGGCAGGGCCTGAACACCGTCTGGGGTGAGGGCTGGGGGCGGCAGTTGTACTCCTATTCAAAGGAGACACTGCCGGCGTGACATCATGTTGGTCTCTCGCTTCCACTTGCTTCCAAACTTATTAACCCCTAACATAGATTGAAAAAGAAAGAAAATTTCATTGCAAGAATCTTTGCCTTGATAATCCCATTCCAAAGACATAACTATAAAGAATTTTTGAACTCCACAGAAACATGGTCTGTAATCATCACCACCACCACCACCACAGCCAGCCTGGAAACTGACTGTCTAACCTGTCTGGAACATAATTGGGCAAATCCTCAAACTTATAGAATACAAATGATAATCATAAAGACTATATAATAACATGGGAAAATGATTAAAAAACTGCCAACATATGCTGTGATTAAAACAATGTCTCAAAGTTGGCAAAGCACAGAAGATGATATATAAAAATTAAAATAGCTATGTTAGTATTGTATTATATACATTATTTTTGGGAGGCCAAGGTGGGCGGATCGTTTGAGCTCAGGAGTTCAAGACCAGCCTGAGCAAGAGCAAGATCCTGTCTCTACTAAAAATAGAAAGAAATTACTTGGACAGCTAAAAACATACATAGAAAAGATTAGCTGGGCATGGTGGCGCATGCCTGTGGTGCCAGCTACTTGGGAGGCTGAGGCAGGAGGATTGTTTGAACCCAGGAGTTTGAGGTTGCTGTGAGCT